ATCCTAAAGCCTAGCGGGCGGAGCCCAATGTGAGTTACGGGAAACTGCGCGGCACGAGGTAGAGATTCAAATAGACTAGGAACTCACTGCTTAGTTCGTTCTCTCGTTTGTTTGCCTAAAATAGTGGATTTACGTTGCCGTTCTAACGCTACAGCAGCTAGGTGACTAGGCCACTGAGGGCAGCCATCGTGTGGGGGGCAGGTAGTGGCTGAGGCAGAGCAGGTAAGGTATCACAGGAACAGAGCTTGGAAGAAGAAGGGGGGGAGGGTGAGAGCAGGAAGGAGGAGGCAAGCCATGGGATGCCACAGATTATGAGTTTCCGACAGCTCGCAGCGACACTGTTACGTGGACCGGCTCTCGAATGGATTTACTACACCGACGTAGCCCGCGGGGAGAAAACGTGGCAGCAGTTTCGGGCAGATTTAATCGAGCGTTTCGAACCAATTAATACAACCTACATGGCACGGCAGCAGATACACCGACACAAGCAATACAAAAGTGTAACACAGTACACGCAGCAGATGGAGTTACTGTTCAACCGCATCACCGACCTGACCGAAGGCGAAAAAATCCAGGCGTACACCGAAGGATTAAAAATGGAGATTTGGCGGCAGGTGATTGCGGCGAATTACAACACCTACAGAGACATCGTGCGTGCTGCCGAGCGATACGACGCGCTGACTCGAAGTCAACCCGAAACACGACGCTTCACGCCGAACTGTACATTCGGCACGGAGCGATCGGCACCCCCCACGTTCACCGAACCGATGGATATCGACAAATACGACGCGAAGCTGCAGCCGACAAAATGCGAATTTTGCGGCGCAGCAGGACATCAGTTTTTGTCGTGCTACAAAATGAAGAAAGCACGTGCGGCACTCCGGGACGAAAACAGTGGAGCACCCCCGAAGTAAAAAAACGGGAATCGCCAGTAGTCGCGGATCGACCTGGCGATCGCGTAAAGATCTGAAAAACAGGAAAAGGCGACGACGTGGCGACTTCGGAGCGGGTGAAAAAAGGAGAAAATGATGGCGCGAATTTAAAACGTCACGACCGGCCGGCATCAGGGGAAATCGCCGAGGCGAATGGAGGCTCCGCGAAAAACGACTCTGCACCGACCGGGAAACTCCAGCCGAACACCCACGAAAGTAAGAATTCGTTAAAAGTATCCTATAAAGATGCTCTAACGAAGAATATTGCTTCTCGTGGTTTACAAGCCTTCAAAGAATTCAGGGGAGGTCTAGAGGCCAAGAAAAGGCCTTTAGAAATTATTCAGGTACCTGAGAAGTTGGGCAAAGTACTACAGAGCGTAGAAAAGGGTCGTGCGTTCCGTGGAGTTAATATTCTCTCCCCGCAGCACAGTGTTGAGGCTCCCCGTCGCCCACAGGTGAAGCCTACACAGCTGCCAAGGCTTAGAGGAGACATCCAGGCTCAGGAAAAATTATACAAGCCTCGGAAAAATCCTCCTACCCCCCAGGTGAAGTTGGAAAGCGCTGAGTCAGGTATAGGAAAAAGGGAAGGTATTAAGTTTGATGTACCCTATGATCATGTTAACGAGACCCTCTTTGGCTACTCAGCACAGCAGAAACCACTAATCCTCGAGGTGTTATGCAATGGGCGACGCCTCCAGGCACTGGTGGACAGCGGTGCATCTCACTCGGTGTGTGACCGCGGCGCATTGGAGAAAATTGGAGAGAAGGCGGAAGAGACCCAGTTTTCAGCAACCATGGTGGACGGTACGAAGCTTCCTATCCACGGCGAAGCATCACTGCAACTGCATATAGGTGCGTTGAGGTGGACGCCGATGCTACCAGTCACCAACATCAAAGGATTAGATTTTATCTTGGGGCGAGATTTCCTGAAGCGGTTCAACCCCGAGATCGATTGGGTCAACAGCAAGGTGTGCATCTACAACAGTGGGAAGCGGATAGCACTGCGAAGCTGGACGGATACAGGGGACGTATCGGAAACGACACTGGCACGGTTCGAACAGACGGTGAACAAGAGTAACACGGGTTACCTAGCATTGGTTATGGCAGCTGTAGAGGAGGAGAAGCCGAGTTCCGAGCTACCTGCAGCAGTGAAAGAGGTCTTGGAGCAGTACAAGGACATAATGCCCGACGACCTACCTGCGGGCGTACCTCCAGCACGCACCCACGAGCACGAGATCGTGGAGGAACCAGGTGCGAAACCCGTCTCACGTGCACCATACCGACTGAGTCCGACTGAACTGACAGACATGAAAAAACAAATAGAGTATCTACTGGACAGACAACTGATCCGCCCATCCACCTCTCCCTACGGCGCACCAGTTCTCTTCACTCCAAAACCAGACGGCAGTCTACGGATGTGCATTGACTACCGCGCACTGAACAAACAGACAGTCAAAAACAAGTTCTGCGGAAGGTGTTCGAGATCCTGCGGAAAAACAAGTTCTACATGAAGCTGTCAAAGAGCGACTTCGCCCTGAAGAAGGTGCAGTTTCTCGGGCACATGGTGAGTGCCGAGGGCGTACACGTGGACCCACGGAAGATCGCAGCCGTCAAGAAGTGGAATGTACCAGAGAACGTGAAGGAGTTACAGCAGTTCCTAGGCTTCGCCAACTACTACAACAGGTTCGTGCCGCAGTACGCTAAGATAGCGGCGCCACTGACCGACCTACTGAAAAAGGATACGCCCTACAAATGGGATACCGTTCATCAGCAAGCCATGGAGCAGCTACAGACAGCACTGACTACAGCGCCAGTACTCATCTTGCCGGATCAAGACAAGGACTACGTGGTGGAAGCAGACGCTAGTGACCAAGCAGTCGGAGCAGTACTGATGCAGGATCACGGACGCGGTTTGCAGCCCATCGCCTACCTCAGTAAGAAGCTACACGGAGCAGAACTAAACTGCCCCATTCACGACAAGGAAGCCTTAGCGATAGTCATAGCCTTCAAGGCGTGGAGGTGTTACCTAGAGGGAGCCAAGGCTACAGTCTATACTGACCACTGCAGTCTCAAATACCTGAAGTCACAGCCGACACTCTCACGACGACAGGTGCGGTGGGTGGACTTCCTAGAAACTCACTTCCACTACGACATCGTCTACAAGCCCGGGCTACACAACAAGGCAGACGCGTTGAGCCGCCCCGGACATGTAGCAGGCATCCAGCTCGACGGGATGAACCCTCTGCTCAAGGGTCTATTCCAACATGGGTACTCCGTGGACGCAGAGATTGCTACAGCACAGACCAAGAAGCTATTACAGTGGGAGAAAGACTTAGCTGTAAGGAAGGGTTCATGAAAGATTTGGGTACCGAATTACGCCCCACTACGGCAGATCCTATTGGAGGAGTTTCACGACGTACCATACGCGGGACATTTTGGGAGCAACAAGACGTTAGCAGGGATAGCGAAGTATTACTACTGGCCCGGGATGGCAGCAGACGTGCAGCAGTTCGTCACCTCTTGCGACACGTGCCAGCGGATGAAGAGCAGCAAGCATAAAAAAGCAGGGTTACTTGAGCCTCTACCTGTACCGGAGCAGCCATGGCAGGTCGTTAGCCTCGACTTCATCACAGGACTTCCTTCGACCTCACGGGGACATGATTCCATCCTTGTGGTGATCGATAAGTTCTCCAAAATGGGTCACTTCATACCGACCAACGCCACAGCTACAGCAGAAGCAACTGCTCGACTCTTCTTCGACCGCATCATCACCATCCACGGCATCCCCGCTACACTCATCTCAGACAGAGACCCCAAATTCACAAGTTCCGGAAGGAGCTCATGGGACTGTTGGGGACAAAGCTTGCAATGTCTTCAGCATACCACCCCCAGACTGACAGACAGACAGAGCGACTCAATCAAGTGGTTGAACAGTCACTGCGCACAGCTTGCAAGGACGACGTCAGCCACTGGGACACACAGTTACCAACCCTAGAGTTCACTTACAACAACGCATCACATGCGGCCACAGGGAAAACTCCTTTCTTCCTGTGTTACAGACGGGAACCACTCACACCACAGCAGCCAACTACACCGGCACACGTCCAAGCCGCACATGACTTCGTCAGCACCATGCAGCAGCTATGGGAGAAGACTCAGCGACGTCTCACCACGATGCAGAACTCCCAGAAGCAGTATGCCGATCGTCAGCGATGTGATCACTCAGTAGCAGTCGGAGATCAGGTGCTTCTTGACACGCGCAACTTGAACCTGTCTCACCTTCCATCCAAACTCCGGCCTCGCTTCTGTGGTCCTTTTCTCGTTGAGGCACAGGTGACACCAGTTACATTCCGCTTGCGCTTACCAGATACATGGAAGCTTCACAACGCTTTCCATGTCCAGCTACTGAAGCCCTACAAGGACCCCAACCAACAGTTCCAGGGACGGCAACTACCGCCACCACCACCTGTTCTCATACAGGATGAACCCGAGTACGAGATCGAGTGCGTTCTCTCTCATCGGCGCCGCGGTGGCAAGACTCTCGAGTTCCTGATACGCTGGAAGGGATACGACCCCACTGAGGACAGTTGGGTTGCAGAAGCTGATATGGGCAACGCACGCCGTGCTCTCAAGGACTATCTTGTCAAGCAGGGTGTATCTCACGCCACCCAGCTTTGAGGGGGGGATGTGTGAGAGTACGACGGCTTATGCCAGCTATGCTTGCTTGCCTCTACTTTATCATGCTATTTCTAGCATAGGATAATCATATGCATGCATGAATTGCTTGATTTCCTAGGCTAGGTGCTTTCCTATATTTTATTATAATTATAGCACCGAGCTAGGTTGCGTGCACCGAATTCTGGCTTTTCGGTTGCCACCGAATTGCCTTCTACCGAATTCGGTAAGGATCTGTTCGGGACGCTTCGCGACCCGCGGAACCTTCGCGTAACACCTGGTTACGGGGCCTTGTGTCGAGCCTATATATAGCCTCGTGTTGTACCCAGGTGGACATTCAATTCAATTCAATTCAATTTGACTCAATTCTCATTCTCTTTTCTGAACTCGATCCTAGACCCTCACATCCCTTGCCTTGAGTGGGACACAAATAGAGTCACGGGTCTCGATTGCCTTTTTCCAGTCGATCTTCTTGCCCCACACATCCTCCCACTCCGCCTGTCTCCATGAGCAGCCCGTCGTCTTAGTTAGTATGGCCCGTACTTTGCGCAGTGGCACTAGCCCTCCACCTATGAAGAACCCCGACCCGGAAATAAGTCTCGTCTTCGGGTCCCCCACCGGTCCCACTAGTTTGTTGTCTTGGACCATCAGCGGCTGGAGCCTGCACGCCTCGAAACACCCTTTGCTAGGCTTTCCTGGGACCGTCAACCCTCCTTCATCATTGAGCAAGAACCTCGAGACGATGGCCTGCGTGCCGTCGATTCCCTTCACCGCCCAGGGCGGCCCGGATGGCTCCCCCCACAGAACGTATCTCACCACGCCCGGCGTTGCAACCTGCGCCTCTGCCGACGCCGGCTCCTCAACCATCGCCTTCCTCTCCAACGGCATGGCCTCATAGGCCTTAAGCGCCATACCAGCACCTTCCTTGCTCCCTAGCTCCAGCGTTAGCAGCTCCACCGCCTTCACGCATCTGCGCCCCCCCGGGCCGTCTGTCAGCAAGTCTTTAATGCGCAAATTGATAAGCCCCGCCGTGCCTATCTGATGACCGAAGGGACTTCCTCCCCTATGCATGATCCTTCTCTTGAAACCAATCAGCTCCTCCTCTACCTCCCATCTGTTTGCAGGTGCCGGAAGCTCCGCAAAGGGCGATTTCCAGAAAATCTTCACCGCTGCCTTCCATCTTACGCTCCCCGCTTGCCAAAGTTTAGTCGCCGATGGGTGTGCATGCAGAGTCGCCCAGCCTTGTGGGAAGCCCGCCGCCTTCTCAGCCAGCCACCGCCGTGCCCCCTCTGGCTCCTGCAGTAGCTTGCCTACTCTGCGCACCGCCAGCCCATCTAAGCAGAGCTTCGGGTTCAACTGTCCCAAACCACCATCCTTTCGCGGAAGGTACGCCAGGTACGCTCTCCAAAGTATGAAAATCTTTTCCTCTACGGCCTCCCCCGCAGAGACAAATGCGTGGGAAATTGTCCTGATCTTCTCCCATACCTTGTCCGGCGGCGAGTACACCTGTGCTTGGAACATTAGAACAGGCAGTACGTAGCAGCTCATGACCGCCACCCTTGCTGTTGTTGTGAGATACTGCGACTCCCACCTTCCTAACTCCTCCTTTATCCTCTCGTAAGCCCTCCCCCAGGATGGCCTGGCGTCGCCGCTCGGTGTGATCCACACTCCCAAGAGCCGTTCCGGCTCATCCTGCTTCGACCATTTGTATGGGACATCCGCCAGTGCCGGAGTCCCCCTGTTGCGGCCTAGTGGCACAACCACCGACTTATCGCAATTGACTTTCATGCCTGATTGCTTGCCAAAAACATTCAAGACCTCCACCACCTCCCGTAGCTGCCCTTCCCCACTCAGCAAGAAAGAGGTATCGTCTGCGTACTCCACGTATGACAACGGCTCCTTCCCCTCCGGTTCGATCCCCAACCTCCTTCGTCGCACGTCTCTGCAGAGCGGCTCGATGGCACAAAGAAAGAGGTATGGCGCTAAGGGGCAGCCCTGCCTCACACCTCTGTTCATTTCCACTTTATCACTCAGCCAACCGTTAACGATGATCCTCGTACCGGCTTCCGTGTGCAGGCCTTTGGTCCACATGACGAAGTTCTCCGGAAACTCCCCATCTCTTTCATCACCCTGAAGAGATAGGCTCGCGAGACCGTGTCGTACGCCTTCTGAAAATCAACCAGGAGTAGAAGCCATTCATGTCTGCCGCTGTGTGCAGCCTCCACCGCATCCGCAACCACCGACACTGCATCCGGCTCCCGGGTAAGAATCCATGTTGCTCTTTTGATAGAACCGTGCTCAGCACTCTCTTGAGTCTTGTAGCCATGACCTTCGTGACAAGCTTATACATGACTGACAGAAGCGTGATCGGGCGGTAGTTTCCCAACTGATCTGTTGGCCCCTCTTTGTAACAGTACCGTCACCGATGTTGAGATACTCCCCGGCATCTTCGCCGTCGCTGCAAACTCCTGAACGAACTCCATCACATGAGTCTTAAGCAGTTCCCAGTGCAAGACAAAGAACTCCGTAGGTAACCCATCCTGCCCCGGAAATTTCCCCTTTGGGAGCGACTCTAGTGCCTCCTTGACCTCAGCTTCCAACCATTCCGCGGCCAGCCGCTCCACTTCCGCGTCTGAAAGCGTCGCTCCCTTCGCAAAGGTCTCCCAGTCAACCTCCTCCTCCGGTTCGATCTCGCTGAAAGCCAACTTGAAATGTTCCGCCACCGCTCTGAGCACGTTCTTCGTCCCCAGGTAAGCTGCGCCCTGGTGCGTTAACTCCCGTATGACCGTGCGTTTTTTCCTCATCTTAATTTTCGCCGATAGATAGGGTGATGGTACTTCCCCGTTCAATTCCACCCTGATGCCTGCCAGCACTTGCATCCGATCTTTGCAGCTCTGCAGGTAGGCCTCCAAATGCGCCTCTTTGCACACCAGCCTGCTCTGCGCCCGCTTATCACCCGGGTACCGCATCATCTTGTGCCTCAGGAACTCCACCACCCTTTCCACGTGGGCAACCGTCGCCCTCACCCTCTTCCTCTCTTCCCGCGTGTATTCCCTTAGACCCACGCTGAGCAAGCGCAGCTTCTTCCCTAGGTTGACCCCCTCTTCCTTCTCCAGTTTCTCAAGTATGCTAGCGGTCACCGAACTAACCCCCCACCGTCGTGCTTGCCTCGCCTGCATCGTCCACAGGCCGGGTCCTTGGTCAACAGGCACGGACATAGCCAGCGCCACCTTAATGCCGAACCAATGGTCGGAGAGGCCCCCCGGTATCTTGACGTTACGTGCATCCGCCAGCAGACAGAGCAGGGACAAGGATACCAAGCTCCTGTCAATCCGCGTGCTTGCCTTTGTCGCTCAGTCCCTGAACGTGTATTCCGGCTTGGTCTGATGGAGCGCACGGAAAGCGTCGCGAAGACCTCCCCCTTCCAGAATTGCAACAGCCTCCGGTTCTCATTCCCTGTGCCCGACTGTGATGTCCGATCCAAATCCGGGTCCTCCACCAGGTTCAAATCCCCCATCACCACCACATGCGCTGACGGCCGCTGAGCCTAGACGAACTGCAGGAGGCAGTCCTGGAAGAAAATTCCTCTGTTGCACGCGTGCGCCGGCAGGTATATCGCCACTAGCCTGATGGTAATCCCTGAACACGCCACCGTGACTCCCACCAGCCTGCCTGATGGGTGTAGCACGGCATCTGTAAGCTTCACCTCCTCGTTAAACGACGACACCGCCACTCCGCATGCACGCTCACTATTCCTCACCACGGCAGCCGCTGATGGTTTCAGTTGCGTCCAAAAATTGTGATCCTCCCCTATTCTTGTGTCTGTAAGTATCACCACATCCGCAGATTTTTCAATCCAATCTGCATGCACCGTACGTTTGTCGTTGCTTCCGAGGCCATTGACATTGACCTCGCATAGTGTGAGGGTGTTGCGGTTGTTATCAATTAATCCACTGAGATAGAGCCCCATCACATCCACGGGCTTGATATACAGAAAACGCTCCTACGCACGTCTGCATGTGCCTGGCAAGTGACACCTCTCCTACTCCTCACAGCTCCAAACTGAAAGTCAGCCATCCGCATCCGTCACGGTGCTTCATGGTCCTCTTGAGCGCGACACAATACGCCTTCTCTACTTCATGCCAAACTCCTTGCAAATCGGGATGAGATTCACCCTCCCCTTGCTCTTCCGGTTGGCCGATCCCCCTTTCAGGAGCGCGGTGCAGTGCTGAACCGACTTTACATGTTCTGCCGCCTAAGTAAAACTGGAACCTTGAGCCTTGCCGTAGGCCTCCTGAAGACAGATCCAATCCTCCCGACTCCCACCAGTAGATATCAGCGCCACCGCCGGGTCGCGCAGGATCTTCTTGACGCGGGAGTCGAGCGGGAGGAACGCAGCTGCTCACGCAAGATGCGACGAAGCTGTCAGCAAGCCCGAGCGGGACCCCAACAGCCTGAAAAACAAGGTCAGTGCAAAAGTGTTTACCCTTTATAGCATGCAAACGCTGAATCGTCAGGTTCCACTTGCCGATGTTCTCCTGACGCTCCGTTACAAAATTATCGTGAAACTTTGTCATGTGCATGCCGTTGCAAAAAACACAGGAAAGTGCTGGGTAATGGACGAGGAGGAGCTTATGGTGCACCGAGTTAGTCAGCAGGTGCCACCAACGATACTTATCCCCTGGGTGGCTCTTAACCGAGCCTTTGATTTCGTCCGTGTCAGCACCCGTAACAGGATCTACCACGCGATGAAACGCAGCCCCACTGAGGAAAGGAGTACGGCCTAGCTTCTCCAACACCGTCTTCACTAGGTACTCATACACCATCTCCGGTGTAATCGCTGCCGGGACACTCTTCAGGAGAACCTCAATCGAGGATGTAACCCGGATTCTCTGGGTGCTGCCAGTCGAGGAAAATGCCTGTGCCGTTCACCATTTTATGCTCAATTCGGCGACACCATACGTAGTTGGCGTCCGACGCCTGATGGAAGGTGACTTGAAGCCTCCCATAACGCTTCTTCGACAGCCATGTGTCAAATTATATGTATGTCATACATGTGTAGGCTGTAGTGGGGTAGCCAACATGGGGTACAACACCATTAGGGTTTCACATTTGTACCCAACTCTTTCATAGTTCATTCATTCCTGCTACTACATTTAACATGGTTTCGAAACACTAGGTCCGTAGGACCGTCTTTTTTTCCGGGCCCACCTACCGCTGCGGTTACCGCGCTACCCCACGTGTTGTCCTGCGCTAGCCTTTGCTTGCCTTGCCTTGTGACGTGCTGCGCTTCGCGCGCCGTCCTGTAGCCCTCGCGCTGCCTACTGTTGCCCTAGCTATGCGCGCACCGCCCTACAGACCCGTAAGGCCACCGCGCCGCCCCTACAGGCCCGTAAGGCCCGCGAGCCGCCTCTGCAGGCCCGTAAGGCCCGCGAGCCGCCCCTGCAGACCCGTCAGACCCGCGAGCCGCCTCTGCAGGCCCGTCAGGCCAGAGCGCGGCCCCGCCCTGCAGCCGATGCGGCCCCGCCCTGCCGCCGACGCGGCCCCGCCCTGCCGTCGACGTGGCCCCGCCCTCCCACTGTCGCGGCCCCGCCCTGACGCCGACGCAGCCCCGCCAGGTCGCGGCCCCGCCCTGCCGTCGTGTCGCGGCCAGCCCTGCCGCTGACGCGGCCCCGCCCTGCTGTCGACGCGGCCTCACCCTCCCACTATTGCGGCCCCGCCCTGACGCCAACGCGACCCCGCTAGGTCGCGGCCCCGCCCTGACACCGACGCGGCCCCGCTAGGTCGTGGCCCCGCCGACGGGGCCCCGCCCCGCCACCGTGTCGCGGCCTGCCCTGCCGCTGACGCGGCCCCGCCCTGCCGCCGACGCGGCCCCGCCCTTCCGCCGACGCGGCCCCGCCCTGCCGCCGACGCGGCCTCGCTTGGCCCCGCCCTGCCGCCGCCACGGCCTTGCCCTGCCGCCGACGCGGCCCCGCCTGGACCCACCCTGCCGCCGACACGGCCTCGCCCTGCCGCCGACGCGACCCCGCCCCGCCGCCGACGCGGCCCCGCCTGGCCCCGCCCTGCCACCGACATGGCCCCGCCCTGCCGCCGACACGGCCCCGCCCTACAGCAGCTGCCGCGGCCCTGCCCTGTCGCTGTCGTGGCCCCAGCCCTGCAGCTGATGCGGCCCTACTCTGCAGCCGCTGTTGCGGCCCCGCCATCGCCGCCATCGTGCGCCTGCCCTTCCCGCCACTGGTGAGCACCTGCCCTACCCGCGATTCCCGTGTGTCTGCCTTGTTAGAGCGCTGCACCGCCATCTGCCTGCCTGCCTGCCTGTCTACCTGCCTGCCTGCCTGCCTGCCTCACCTGCCCTGCCCACGCTGCTACTGCTGCTACTTCTGTTACTGCTACTAGGCTCCTGCTACTACTGCTCCTACTACTACTGCTACTACTGCTACTGGCGGTGGCCAGATGCAGCTGCAGCGACATCCGCGCGAGTCTCTCACGCCCCAGCAGCTTCGTGAGTGGTACGCTAGTTGGGGTTGTGGCGGTAGCCATCATAGCTGTCGCCCTGGAGCTGGTCAGCTGGGAGCGTCTAGCAGTTGCCAGCTGCAGCTGCAGCGGCGCCCACGCAAGACTCTTACGCCCCAGCAGCTTCACGAGTAGTACGCTTAGAGTAGAGGGTCTCGGAGTACCGTTCGGTGCCCGTACGTCATTCGCACAGGTGATCGGGCTGTTCAGGCTTGCGGGACGCTTAGTCACACACAGTCCCACTGCTTTGCCCGTCTGAGCGACGCCTAGCGTACCGAGTTTGGCGACGAGGCTGAGCTCCCCACCTGGCTGGAGCTGCTTAGGCAAATGGAAGATATATTTGCTCTTGACTATGATGCTATTCTCACTGCCATGTATGCATTGCCTACTAGTGCTGAGGGTGCCTGTTACCTGTGCGTACCGCTTGACCCAGGTATAGAGTCTGCTGCTCTAGGTGCTGGTGAGGCTGCTGCTCTAGGTGCTCGTGCATCTCATGCTCTAGGTGCTGGTGAGGCTGCTGCTCCAGGTGCTAGTGCGTCTGCTCTCTCTGGTATTGCACCTGCTGAGTCCTTGTACACCTTCACACTTGACTCAGGTACTTCCCGCTCCTTCTTTTGCAACAGCACCATCCTCACGCCGCTCATTCGGCCAGTTCCAGTCTCCCTGGCAGACCCCTCTGGGGGTCCAGTCCTTGCGCACTCCTCCACGGTCCTGCCGTGTCCGCCGGTCCCATCTGGCTCCCTGTCAGGTCTTCACCTCCCCTCGTTCTCTACGAACTTGGTGAGTGGTGCTGACCTCCAGGACCAGTGGGTTGACCAGTTCACTTGTGGAGGTCAGCACGTGACCCACTATACGTGCTCCCGGACGGGCCGGCACCTGGCCACGTTTACCCGTGCGCCTGGCTCGAGTCTGTATACACTGACTACTGTGTCCCCTCAGGTCGCTGCGTCTGCATCTGCGTCAGGTCAACTAGCGGCCCCCTGCTCGTGTCGTGCTTCCTTGCTCCAGACCCTCCTTTGACACCACCATCTTGGTCACCCCTCGGTGCAGCGCCTTCGTAGCATGCACTGCCGTGTCCTTGTCTCTAGTCTTCCCAGGGTTCTCCCTCCCCTCCCACCCTTGCCTGCTCCTCCTTGTCTTCCCTGTGTCGAGGGGCGGCAGCGCGCCGCTCCTCATTCCTCCTCGTTTCCCCCGACGACTGCTCCCCTGCAGACCGTGCACATAGACGTGTGGGGCCCAGCCCGCGTCAGTCGGCAAGACCGCGAGCGGTACTTCCTGCTGGTTGTTGACAACTACTCACGTTACACCACGGTCTTCCCCTTGCGCACCAAGGGTGAGGTCCGTGATGTTTTGATCCCTTCAATCCGCACTGCCCGTCTCCAGCTCCGCGAGCAGTTCGGGACGGAGTTTCCCGTCCTCCGTCTGCACTCAGACAGAGGTGGGGGGTTTTCCTCCGACC